CTCTCTCTCTCACACACACACACACACACACACACAGACACAAACACATGCACGCAAAGACGAGATTTACGAATCCACACAGCAAAGAACAGTTAACCCTATCGGTACGTCGTGTTTTACTATTGTATCCACACGACCTGGGGAACTCTATGTCACCGCTTTTCAAAGAGGAAAATTTACTCGTTAATCCGATCCGTACGTTTTGCACAGCAGTCTGTCAAAATGATCTTTTTAGAAATACTGAAAATTTCAAAGAGATCTTCGTACTAGAAGTATTCTAAAATGTGAAGGACACAACACCGGGGGTACAAAATGACCCCAGGGCGTACGGATAGGGTTAACAAACCCAACCTTACTTGCTTCGGAACAAACGAAAGGCCAGTCCTTGTTTACTTAATCCAAAGATAAAAAAGGATATTTTAAAATCTACTTCATTAGATAATCGTCTTGGAGTCGAGGTTATTTTCGTAACTCGACTTTTAAATGAAACTTTCCTCTGGCCTTCCCCCCCCCCCCCCCCCCCCCCCCCCCCCCCCAGGAATTAACCCCCGAATGACGTAAGCCGCACGACCTTTTGTAGCCTACCATCTTCTAACAGCGTGTTCACACCAGAAGTGTTGGTCGACCGACCGACAACGGTCAACCAATAAATAATGGACGTCATATACGTTCACATCAGAAAATATTGGACGTTTGTCTGTGTTGATATGTACGGATGCCTCATGCTATGCCTACTTAATGTAGCTTAATAAATACATGAATAAATCAATACATGAATAAATCAATAAACAAATAAGTAAATAAATAAATAATCAAACAAATAAACAAATAAACAAATAAACAAACATAATTATAAAAGGCTTGCACTTATATTAATGTGCTTTATAATTCATAAGAACATAATATATTATATTACACACATATACGCACACAAACACACACAAACGTGTGGGTGCATGTGCGTGTGTGCATGTGTGTGTGTGTGTGTGTGTGTGTGTGTGTGTGTGTGTGTGTGTGTGTGTGTGTGTGTGTGTGTATGTGTACATGCACGCCCGCGCGTGGCTGGCTTGATCGTCACCAGTAAGGTCAAGATTGGTAACGAGAAACGGAAGAAAATTGGAAGCTTGCCAGCTGTTTAAATTGTTTGTCTTTAGAAACCAGTTCTGATCCTTTGAATTTGAAGGATCTGCATTTCGGAAAATAATAAATGGTTTGGGGTTGGTGTGTTTGTTTGTTTGGGTGTTTGTTTGTTTTTTATGTGCTTGTTTGTTTGTTTGTTTATTTGATAGATTGTTTTGTTGTTTTATTTTTTATACTGAATTTCGGGGCAAAAGATTGTAATACACTTTAGTATAAGAAAATAAGACATGTTTCTTTTTGTCTCGTTTCATTCGTTGGAGTAGTGGTTTATAGACTGATTCATTTTAATAAATCTAGATAAATGTTTTCACTATTTCGACTAACAAAAAACTTTAACATTATTACGTTTCAACTGGTAATTGGGACTTCAATGTTACGGGCACGTTCAAAGATATAATTTTGCAACAAATTAGGAGTGCATCTTTGTTTCATGGCGCGTTGGTTAGTGTTCAATGCATGTCATAACATGGTTCGTCTTTTTTAAGGATGCATGAATAATACAAGTATATTATCATTTTCCCACTTCTTTCCCCTAAATTGTGTTAATGTGTTAGTAAAATCGCGGACAAAATAAATATTCTGAAGTAATCGGATATTTTAAGAAATTATTTCACATCAGCAGGATTACGTGATCTGCAGTAAATGCCTTATCATCAGAAATAAGGCCTCCACAGCTATCGGGACGACGCACAAGGTACCTTCCAGGAGCCAGGGGCGGATCTTTGGAGCAGTAATTTGTGAAATGGTACGGATTTAACGCCCCTATCAACACTATTAGGTTATTTAAGGGGCGGGACCTCCTAGTTTAACGTCCATCTCCGATAGGACTGAGCCAAGTGGGAAGTTCGTGTAAAGTGCATTTCCCAAGGACACAACGTCGGACCGAGCTGAGTCTCGAACCCCCGAAATCGCAATCTCACGATTACGAGTCCGGTGGTTAGGCTACCGACGCCACTCAGTAATTTGTGTTAATCTTGAGAATGGCCACTGTATTTCATTATTTATATTTTTTTTACAGAGTGTATTTGTGTCAAGACACAAATTGATTATCAATCATTGCAAATGGTGTACTTTCGGGTGTACCCATATCAGACGAAGACACCCCCCCCCCCCCCCCCCGGATCCTCAGTTGACAAGTCGACAAGAAAGGAGACGTATTATTATTGAGGAAACGTGCAACCTGTAAGCCAGCTTTTAACGAGAGACTTCCTAACAGTGAGAGTTCAGCACCTTTTTCATGGGACAACAGACTATATACATGTACAGCAGAACTCAGATTCAACGAAGCTGTCTGGCCTATGACCTTCAATTCCATTGAGTCCGAATGTTCGTTATAGCAAACATGAGGATTTTGTATAGATAATTACAGGTACTGAGCAAGTAATGTATAAAGGGAGTAACAAGTTGTAGGTTATCCTAAAAATGCCTGCCTTTTTGCCCCGTTTTGACTTCCTCAATCAAAAACAGTTTGATTTCAAATGAGAGTCGTTTTCGTTTCTTTGATGCCATACCGATGAAATGCTGGAAAATTTCTGAAAAACACACTGAACTCTACCAAACACACACTGGGCCAATTCGTTCAAATGCATGCCCGTGTCATCTATGACGTATTGTTCACAGAACAAGTTGTGTTTCTGTAGTGTAGAGCCTTGCATATGGCAACGTTTGATTCCACAGACCAACGCACAATTCATTACTATGATCGATGTCAAAACCAGCATATTATCCATTGTAATATTGATCAGAAACCGGGAGGGGGGGGGGGTAGAGGAATGACTGCCGTGTTTGTATCTCTACTTACGATCCACGCCCGGACCGCATGTGCCGCTTACCCCAAGACATACGAAGACACAATCACACGTGTGCGCTCTAACAACGCATGTGTTGGTATGAAAGAAGACTGCTGATTGGTCGTATAATATATAAATTATATGCTAAGCGAATAATGGTCCATGATGCAGGTGCCATGGATGGTTTCCTGAAATAGATAAGGTTCGTTAGAGAAGGAAAATGAGCGAAGCCACGTCCACGGGGAACGTTCACCTTGTAAGTGACTTCGCTGAATCCGAGCTTGCTGATTTACGTGTTCGTGGAAGGTTATTTACAAAAGAGATTTTAATGAATGAATAAAACGGGGAATTCATCTCTTTTCGTTGAATCCGAGTTCCACTGTATATCCCCCACCCACTTCAAAGAGGCATTGTGTCTGAGAAATACAAGACCAAACAATGGCAGGCCATAACAATAACAGTAATACCGCACGAATTCAGTCTATGAAGCGTTCGAGTCCACAAAAAGTCTTTAGCCCTCGGTTGTTTCTTCTTCTGATTTCGGCCAACGTACAAGCACCAGACACATGCAAAAATGATGATACTATATTTTTCTTATGCATATCAGGATGGATTCAGGAACATGGATTCAGTAACTCGCATCGTGCGGCTTTGAAGCTTCCCATTTTTACAGAATGCTATTAGATCTATTATTTTTGTGTGCATTCTTTCCTGGATACGAGCTATACGGGAGTATTTCTTAACAAACGAAACTTCAGTGCTACAGAT